TGCAAAATGCGCTTTGTCTGTGACAGAAAATTAGAAGCCACTTGGAAGATTTAGAGACTTGAAGGGAGCGGGACAGGGTCAGACCTCTGGTGAAGGCAAAGGCTGAGGTGTGACTGAGGGTGGGTGGAGGAATCTGAGGGAGCAGGACTGGAAAGGTATCACCGGAGCCCATTTCCTCAGAGAGGCAAACACACGCACAATGGGCCCCCATATTGAAAAACACCAGATGATCTGCTTCTAAAGGACATAAACAGGCCTAGCGGATGCAGGTTAATAAAACCCGCAAAAGCCCAGGCAGGAACACTTTAAATGCCCCAGAAACAAAACACACCGTGACAAATTCCCACCCAACACACACGCACATGCACCAGAATGTTCCCAGGCACAAAGAGACCTTCCCCGTCTCAGTGGACGCTCAAGTGTACCTGCCTCACACAAATTTGTACACTCTCCTAAGCCAACCCTCAGAAACCCTTGGTGGGGGGGGGGAAGCAAGCACTCAGCTGCATAAGCACCCACAGAGCCAGGCCTATGTCTCCTGAGTCTCAATAATGCACAATCCATACCCAGAGATAAAAGTCCAGACAATAGATGGCTGTTTATGACAAGGAGGCTTTCTGAGTTTGGGGCCAGCGATAAATCTCTGGTGAATCTTCCTGTAACTCAACTTCTGGCTACAGTGACGAGTGAACCACAGAGACAGTAGAGAGGAAAGCAGCAAAATGGGGAGAGACTTTTAACTCACGAGCAGAAGGTGACTTCCCCACTATGGCCAGAAAGTGCAGGCAACCACACTGGCCCCACATGACATGTCCGCACTGTGGAAGCTTTCAAATCAAGCTTCAGAAAACAGGCAAGTCAGGCTTCCCAGCTCCCAGGAATGGGGTGAAATGTACAGGCAGATGGGAGGGCCTGGAGGCTGGGACAGACTCACAAACCATTCTTGCTCCAGGCTAATGGTCTTTCTGGCTGGTGACTGGAATCTTCTTGCTATGTGTCACCTGAATTTTTTCTCCCTCCCCCCCCTTTTCCTTTTTGGATTGATGGGCTGTTCCCTTTTGCATTTTCTACTCAGGCATCTGATTACAAGTAAAGAGCCACTGAAGTTGATCTCATAAAAATGCCTAGAGCTCACTTTGATCTGCAAGGACTGGGTCTGCGCCTAAGTAGGCACTAAAGTCCGGGAATGGTGTCTGGGCTAACCCAGCCTCCGGCCTCCACTCCACTGGGAGCCCAGAGATCCAGGTTGCCCAGCAGGGCAATCCTGCCCAGAAAAATAACATTTTCTGTGCTGCTGCAACTGGGTTTGGAAAACCAGGGTCTAAAGGTAGCAGCTCCAATTCCAGACTGCTTTTAAGACATTTCCTTCATTTTAGAGCATTTGGTGAAGAGGCCAGTGAAACTGACTCGTAAAATGGGACTTTTATGGGGAGAAGTGCGTTCTCATCGCTAACCTCCTGGGGCAATCCTCTGCTAAGAAAGGTGGATGGAGCTTGGGGTGGCAGATAGAGGAGGTGCCCTTCTCCCTCCTCCTATTCAGTCCAGGGACCAGAGGAACCTCGGAGCAGCATGCATCTACTTAGATGAGCCTGACTTGGGGCTTTGGGCTTGTAGTAATGACCAGGGACAAGGATCGGCGAGGGCTGAGAACCAGCAGTCCCATTCCCTTCTAGCTCCCCAGCTGGGGGTCGGAGGTGTCTCCAGTGCAGAATAAACCTCTGGCCTGAAAATCCCCAAGCACACTAAAGGGAATTATTAAACAGAGCAATGTGTGCAAAAAGATGCAGGCCAATTTCTAATGAGGGTGCATCCTTGCCGGCCCAGCTTCTGAATCACTGAGGGTGTCCATGTGCTTATTGTTTATCTTTGTATTGATTCCACCCAGGACTGTTTAAGCTCACTAGAACTCTAACAGCCTTTTCGCCTCCCTGGTTTTCCTCCCAGTTCACGGTCTGTAGGGTGGGCCCCTTTCTCTTCCACAATCTACTCTAGAGTCCAAAGCAGCAGGAGGAGGTAATCAAGGTGCAAGGCAGCCAGGGCTGTATGGAGGATGCTGCTGCGCTGGGGTCTCCGAGGCTGGAATTTGGGAGATACTGCCCCCTTCTGAAGCTGCTTCTGCATCCACGTGTGGAAGAGAAGCATGCTGGAGTCTGTTTGTAGCCCTGGCCAGAGTACCAACCACGGCAGCTGCCCAGACAGTTTGCAACTGCCTGCTAGTGGCCAGGCAGGCAAGCACTGTTTACTGAGGCCACCAAGAGCCAAGCCAAGCTGTGGGGCAGGCCAGATGACCCTGTGGAAGAGGAGGACTTCATGGGAAAGCTGGAACTCCAGGACAGTGGAGGGGCTACAAACACGCATGAGATGAAGAGGAAAAAGCCACCTCCGCTCCGGGGAATTGGGCTTGCCAGGCTCTTGGGAACAGATTTGGGGCCACAGATGGATCTCTTATTTGGGTAGATGCCCTGGGGTACAGCCTGGGGAAACTCAGGCTGAGCTTAGGAGTGGTGTGGACCTAGGGCCAGGCAGGGTGGTTGGTAGCCCACACCATGGACATTTTTTCCAGTCAACGTCTTGCTGACCTCAGTGGCCAGGGCCTTCTCTACTTGACCTCAGCAGCAACCTCTAGTTGCTGGGATTTTATTTTAAGTTGTTGAAAAATTAAGTCAGGCCAAAACTGGAAAAAAAAAAAAAGGGGGACTTGGTGCCTCACTTTTAGGAGGAAGAATATTAATTACCAGATGCTCCCGTTAGGAGACCCTGGAGTTTTCTTGGACATCACCTCCTTGTATATTCTTTTTTGTCTTTCTTTTTTGTTTCAAGGAAATAGAGCCGCCAGCAGCAACTTGCAGCTGCCTGGCTCACTTTTATGGTGGCCCTGGAATAAACTTTGGTGGTCAAATTCAAGTGCTCAGGCCCACAGCTGTCTTCTCACAGGAAGCACGCCCCCTCCCCACTGTCAGCCCTGATGGTGCAGAATTTGCTTTGGGGGCTTGGGCCCCAGGTTGCCCTGGAGGCCAGGGTTGGGAAGAAAGTAGGGTCCTGGGGGAAAGTGGGGAAAGCCGAAGCTGAGACTCAGCCCTCATCCACATTTCTCCAAGTAATAGTGGTACCTCTCACCAACCTCTCACTGGTTCCTATCACTGTTTGGGGAGCATTTTGCCTCCTATAAACTCAAGTTTAATGATGTTATACAAACCCCATAAAAGCCATAGTTCATAGTTCCCCATAATTACAATTAAAAATGCTGGCCCCAGTTCACCCTATAAAAAGAGGTAGAGAAAGGAGGAAAAGCAACAGACTTTTCTTTTCTTAGCCCCTTATTAATGAAGTGGTCCAGGACGTTAGCAAAGCCCCAGTTGAGTTCCTCTTTGCCCTCCATAAGATTTGGTCAGGACTAAAGAAGGACTTCAGAAACAGTGATTTTTTTTGGGGGGGGGGGTTGGTTCCTCCTCTTCTACCCAACAAATCGTGCCCTGGCAGCTCCTTCTTGGATCCAATACTGTTTTCTGCTTGTGGCAGTTGCTCCAGCCTCTTGGACCCAGTCCAGAACCTTTCAATAAAGTGATTTTCAGCTGACCAAATGTGTCCTGTGGTGCCCAGAGGGATGGGAGGCAAAGGAAGGCAGAATCACCGAGTCCACCCCTTGGGCCACACCATCCAGAAGGCTGGTGGATGAGGAAGAAGACAGGGCAGGTCTGAGAAACAGGAAGGCAGCACCAAGGTCTGGTTGCAGGCACTGGCACCAGGGCTGAGGCTTTCACTAGGGAGTGCCCCCCCCTCCTGGGCAAGGTTCCTCAGCCCCCTTCCACTGCCCTGCTGGTCTGCCTGGAGACCCACATCTGGCCCTACCACCTACCCCACAGCTCCAGATAATCCACGGATAGAAACCTCAGACCCAGTCCTGCCACCATATCCTTCCCGAACACTGACATTGGTTTTCTTTTCAGCCACCAAACTGAGGCTGAGTCCCCAGCCTAGAGAGAAGATACATGGCACTCATTCCAACCTTTTACTTTGGGGTTTGAAATTTAAAAATCCACAGTGGATGTAGCTTTCTGTGCATTGATTGGCAATAAAGGCAGGCATGAAATATTCACCCAGGGCCACTCTCTCATACTAAATATTTAACACAACATTAGAGAAGGTTTTTCCCAGACTTCGCCAGGCACCGGCTGGGCGGCTGGCGCACTGCTTTCCACTAGTTTATGACTAATCTGAGTCCCTGAGCCGCCGGCAGCACAGCGAGCCAGACAAAGTTGGGACATTGGCTCGCTGCTGAGCTGCCTCACCTTTGAGAAACTTCGGATACACCTCTGAGGAATCTTTCCAAAGGGGAAAGTAGTCTGGACACCCAGCCCTGGCGGGGAGGAAAAATCGACTTCTTCAAACTCTTGTAAATAGGTGCTGGTCCCTCTGTGGGTTGGCAGGGTAAGGGTCCCTAAGACTTGGGGCAAAGGATTTGTGTCTCTGGCTGGTTCAAGCAGTGGGGAGAAAGGTCCTCTTCTCCACCCTGGTCTCTAGCTGATCACCAGAGAGGAGTCAAGAACCCCCACGCGTGAGAACCCTCCTCCTCCCTTCAATCCTGGGGGAAAAGAGAGCAGCAGCTAGGAAAAAAAATAGGATTACCCCCTCCTAGTCGCCGCCACCGCCCATCCCACCGCCGACCCCACCCCAACCCTCTCTCTCCTCCTTTGCTCCCTCTGTGGAATGGAGAGGAGGGAAGTGACGAGAGAAAAACGAATACAGATCTGCAATTGATTTTCATAATGTTTCTGCGGTGTTTGCAAACCAATCGCCTGAACGTCCCCATCTTACCTAAGAGAGAACCCCTCCTACGTCCGCGAAGTGCTCCGAACTGATATATGACAATATCTACTTTGGATCACGTGCTCGGGGAGAGAGACTAAGACGGATAACGCGTCATCTCGCCTTCCCAAATTTTCCCCCCTCGCTAGACCGGGTCCAAAACCTCCATCCGGAGCCGGCAGAAGAAGAGAACGATGTTTAACTCGGTCAACCTGGGCAACTTCTGCTCGCCGTCGCGCAAGGAGCGGGGCGCTGATTTCGGCGAGCGAGGGAGCTGCGCCTCCAACCTCTACCTGCCCAGTTGCACTTACTACGTGCCCGAGTTCTCCACGGTCTCCTCCTTCCTGCCCCAGGCCCCTTCTCGCCAGATCTCCTACCCCTACTCCGCCCAAGTGCCCCCGGTCCGGGAGGTCTCCTACGGCCTGGAGCCCTCCGGCAAGTGGCACCACCGGAACAGCTACTCCTCCTGCTATGCGGCCGCCGACGAGCTCATGCACCGGGAGTGCCTGCCTCCTTCCACCGTCACCGAGATCCTCATGAAAAACGAAGGCTCCTACGGCGGCCACCACCACCCCAGCGCCCCGCACGCGGCCCCCGGCGGCTTCTACTCCTCGGTCAACAAGAACAGCGTCCTGCCGCAAGCCTTCGACCGCTTCTTCGACAACGCCTACTGCGGCGGCGGCGACGCGCCCGCCGAGCCCCCCTGCCCGGGCAAGGGCGAGGCCAAGGGGGAGCCCGAGGCGCCCCCGGCCTCGGGACTAGCGTCCCGGGCTGAGGCGCGGGCCGAGGCCGAGGCCGAGGAGGAAAACACGAATCCCAGCTCGTCCGGTTCAGCCCACTCGGCGGCCAAGGAGCCGGCCAAGGGAGCCGCCCCCAGTAGGTAGCAGCGGCCGGGCAAGCGGCGGGCGGCGGGGGTGGGAGCGAGAGGAGGGCGAGGGTAGGGGGGAGGCGAGGGGCGCGGGGGCGGCCTCGCGTTTTGGGTCAGTCTGATTTTATGTGGAGTTTTATAAGCATTCAAAGGATTTTATTATAACCTACAAAGCCCTCTCTTCCAACTCGACTTTTTACGATGGAGAAGGGGTGGGGAGGGCGGGAAAAGGGCTCTTTGGAAAAGCCGGGTGAACCCCCTCCCCGTTATCTCCCTCTGTTTGTGAAATTTTTAAAAGCGCCACCATCGCAGGCTATACTAACTTTGATCGTGAACTTAGAGGAGCTTTTAAGGAAGAAGGATGGGGAGCCGGGCGGCCGGGGGTGGGAGGGAGGGGAGGGGTGGAGGGGGAGAGGGGAGGGCGAGGGAGAGACCGGGGGAAACGCCGGGAGGGGGAGTGGGGGGGGAGAGGCGCCCGAGCAGAACTCGAGGCCGGAGGGGCCGGCCGGAGCGGCTCTGCGTCCTCTGAAAACTACTTTTGAAATGTTCAAATTATGTGTTCGCGGGTCCCTGAGCAGAACCCGGAGCCACCCAGGGTCAGCGGCCACGGAGGGCCGGGGAGAGGCGCCTCCGCGCGCCTCCCGGCTCCAGGCCCGGGTCTCGGCGTTTCTCCGCGCGGCGCGGCCTCCGCGCGGGCCGGGCCCGGCGACGAGGAAGGCGCGGCCCGCGGGGCGTCCCGGGCGCCAGGGCCCCTGGAAGCGCCTCTCGGGCGTCTTTGGTGCCTGCTCGCTCGCTGCCTCGCCGCCTCCCCGCTGCTCTCCCCCGGCGCCCACGGTCTCCGGGGCCCCCACCCCGCACCCCGGACAGGTTGCTGGAGGATGCGGGCGGTGGGTTTCCAGAGTTGCTGGGAAGGCCGTGCGGAAGGGCCGCGGCCCGCAGCTGAGCAGGCCGGTGCGGGGCGCGGGCGGGGCTGGCGCGCACTGGGCCCGGGCCGGCTTCCCGCTGCCCCCAGGCTCGGCCCTCGCCGGAGGGGAGGGGACCCGCGGTGGCCCCGGGGTGGGCACGAGCCAGACCTGGCGGGGGTTCGAGGCTGGTGCGGCGCTGGGGGCCGGCGCGGAGAAAGCGGGCCGGCCTGGCGGGAGGGCTGCCCGGCGGCGGGGCTGGGAGCGGGGCCCCGAGCGCCCAGCGGGCTGGGGTCGCCCGGGTCTCACGTGTCTCTCTCCCCCCCTCCCCTCGAACTTGCCCCCTCCCCTCCAGACGCCCCCCGCACCCGCAAGAAGCGCTGCCCTTATTCGAAATTCCAGATCCGGGAACTGGAGCGAGAGTTTTTCTTCAACGTGTATATCAACAAAGAGAAGCGGCTGCAGCTGTCCCGGATGCTGAACCTGACGGACCGACAAGTGAAAATTTGGTTTCAGAACAGAAGGATGAAAGAAAAAAAACTAAGCAGAGACCGGCTGCAGTATTTCTCGGGAAATCCTCTGCTGTAACCACAGACGGGGCCCTTTTGGGGGAGGAGGGTAGGGGAAATTATTTTATTTTATTTTTATTTTTCATTTTCTAACTCGCCTTCTCTCCGCGGGTGGAAAACTGGACCACGGCCAGGGCTGGCCCCCACCGTCAGCGCCCGCACTTCCTTCCGGGACTTGCTCCACCGGCGGTTCGACTCCCGCTGCGGGACAGGCACCGGGCCTGGAAGGGTGGTGAAGGGACTCGTCTGACCCAGCGCGCGTGGACTCGGCGTGGCGCCGAGGCCAAGACTTTTAAAAGAAAACACACCTCGCGACAATGTCTTGCTGCTTGGATTGAGTGGGGGAGGGGCGAGAACCGTGGGCGCCTGAGCCGAACAATCCTCGAACTAAAAGCTTTCCCTTGCCCCGGTGAGAAGATCTGCTGAAACATCGCGTCTTCGAGGGCAGGCTTCCCGGGCCACACGCCCCTACCCAGCCTGCCCCGCTGCTAGGGGGCAGCTCAATGTGATCCTGCTTTGCTGTGAAATTTCTGTACCTTCGACCTGGTGTTAGGTGTGCAAAGTCCGTGTCCTACCTCCGTCTGCGCCCAGGCCCCGCCCAAGCCTAGCTGTTCTCCCTGTGAATGTGTAGAGCCTCCTTCGAAATCTCCTAACTGGTGCATTGAGGTTTCCCAACCTTTTTCCAAATCGTGACCCACTCCATGGATGTATAGCTATAGTCTATGCAGTTGTTACCTCCTTTTTTTTTTTTTTTTAAGGAAAAAAGAAGATTGGGTGATCGAAGCAATAGGGAGATGGGATTGGGCGCCTCCCCCATGCTGGGGCCTGAATTTTTGTAAATAAATTTCACAAGCGTTTCTTTCTACCCCGAGGGCATGGGGGGAGGACTCAACTGGAATGAGACTCAGCTCACCCATCCCTCTCCACGTGCGTGAGTGTGTGTACGCGTGCAGACCCCCTCCTGCTCCTGTCCCAGAGGGACTGTTGTGAAGGTTTTGTTTTTTTTTTGGTGGCAAATAAAAATATTTCTTTCTGTTCAGTATTATAATTTTATTTGACCACTTGATTAGCCCCTCTCCTCTTAAAACCCTCAGTGCTCCCAAGGCGGGGGAAGAGGCAGGCAGGCAGCGCCCAGGCTCGGGAAGGTGAGGTAGGCCGGAGCTGGCGGCCGCACCCCCTCTCCAATGGCGGGCGACAGTGCGGTGGGAGCTCCTCCCGCTCTCAGGCCGAGGATATCCCATGGCTCCTCTTAAAGCTCTCTTTTCTCACGTGCAGCCCTAGCTGTGTCCAAATGCCCAGCAATGCTTTCCGTTTAAGTACACGTTTGTTGTGGAGTTAATTGTAACCATCATCGAATTTAAATTTATAGGAATTTTCTTGGCTCCACTGCCTTCCCGCCAGATGTCTCCGTCTGTCGCCATTAAATGTGTAGGGTTGAGGATAGGTTTTTCGTTGTGTGTTTTTTTTTTCCTGGATGAGAAGACTGTATTGGAATTTTTAAATAAAATTTTGAAGGAGGGGGGAGAGTGGAGAAACCAGCCCCCTTCCTTTCCCCACCTAGGCTGCCCCAGAGGGTGGGAAGGCGGGGCAAGCGCCTTCCTCTCAAGCACAAATGGCCAGGCTCCTCCAGACACAGCAACACCTTAGGCTGGGGCCACCCTTCTGTTTACACTCCGGGTGTCCCAGAGGAGAAAGCTCCCAAGGTTTGTTTTTCTAGGAGGTTGGCTTGGGGTGGGGGACTTGGGCAGGAGATGGCCTGAGGGGACAGTCGCCACACCCATCTACGTTTGCTGCCTGTTTCTTCTCCACAGTCTTCTCGGCACTTTCAGCGAGGGCACGCTGGCAGTCTCTCGTCCAAATTTGTTATTTGACATCTGAGATTTGAAACCAATTCTCTCATCTTTCCCCCTCTTTTGAACTGTTCTTATGTCATTCAGAGAAAATGTTTTTGTCAATACAGGGCTGTCGAACGAAAGATAAAAGTGCCAAGACTACGGACTATTGCTTCTGGGCTCCGTCGTTGTTTTTGATGACAGGGGTCTCTACAGCTTAGGTTCTGAATCTGTAATTTGTTAAGTGTGGTTTTGAGACAAATTTTGCAAACTGAGCTATATATACAACACAGCCCCACAGTTGCCCCCATTAGCTCCCCCATGCGCCCATGCATGGGGGAACTATGGTTTTTAAGTTGGTGCGTCTATGGGCACACGTGAGAAGGAATAGTATTTGAATGCTCTTCCTGTACTGTGGAGTAACCCTGACCCTATGCGCTTCCAGGGCTTGTGTCCCCTGCGGTGTGGACCCCTGACAGTGTTTAGTGTCGGCGGGAAGGCAGCTGGGGGGCCTCTGTGCGAGTGCACACGCGTGTGTGTGGGAGGCTCCTCCAGGTATGTGGTATTTAGCTCCTAGTCATATCAAGGGATATTGGTCTGCTGGGCATGTTTCCAATAAAATAAAATGAAAATAACTCTGTAGAATGAACCTTTTATAAAGCAAAATATTGATCTCCAATGGCCACTGATTTTGGAGAAAAACATTTTAAATTCACAGCTACCACTTTCCCTGCAGTGTGCAGCCTAGAAAAGATTCAGGAAAGATTTCTGGGAAATGGGTGGGGGCAGTCATAGTGGAAGAAAAACAAAGCTCCTACGACCCAGGCCCGGGAACCTGCCAGTCCTTGGTAATCCTCTAAAAATAAGAAAAACAACAGTCTGTGTCCCCCACACAAACTCACCTTTGGACCCCGGGGATGTCCAGCCCCCCCTCGCTGATCAGGGGTGCTCTAGGCTCAACTTCTCTGGGTAATCCCCTCCAGCCGTGGCGCTGCCCTGGAACAAAAGATCCTCGTCTAGACGCCGCCATAAAGCGACCCCCCCTCCCGCCCCGGCCCGCGCCTCTAAACCCAGTTTCATTTCGCCCTTAACGACCCAGTCTGGCCTGTGTTACAAAACGCTTCCGCCCTAAATAGTAAACAAACTGGTAGTGGACGGTCTTGGCACCCCCAACACTCCCCACACCCCCACTCCATTACCCCCTTGCCCCGAATTTTCCCCTTCTGTAACCTTTCTCAGTTCCCACTTCCCCAACCCCCTTTCCCTGCCACCGCCACCCCCCCACACACACACACAAGTAAATAAACCCGAGGCCGAGTTCAAAGTTTCCCCGAGCTAAGGAGGAATGTTGGTTGTAAAAATCCAAGTTTATAGCGCACGTGGGAGTTTACAAGGGTATTAAGTGGTGTGGGCTGAGAGAGAGCACTCTGGGCCCCTCCCCACCCCACGATGGGTTTTGTGGGTGCACCGAGAACCTGGGAGTCCTTGAAAGGAGAAATGGGCTGGGGCTAGACTTTGGGTTGGGGTCTCTTTTTCACTCAGACCCCTAGGTTGTTGGGAAATGACGATGCAGGGGTCCCTTGGAAAACAGCTCACGTAGCCCCAACAAGAGCGTCTGAGAAAAAACCCCTGGGTGCTGGGTGTCCCCAGTGGAGCGGACGGGGGCTCTGCTGTGGGAGAGTACAAAAGTTGCAGACCGGATGTCTGAAAGGTGAGCAGACTCGAGACTGCCCGGAGCCGGTTCTCAACCAGAGGGGGAGAAACTGTCTGGGGCTAATTTCTCGAGTGGGCTGAAGACAGAGAGAGGGCTTTTTGTCACCAGGGAATGAAGAACTTTGAACTTCAAGGGAGTCAAGGGCACCACCCCTTCCCTCTCCCCGCCTCTCTCAGGAATCTGTAGGGCAATTCGTTTCTGGGCCAATATTCCCTCAAGGGGGCAGTCCGCAGGGCTTTCTGGTGGCCCAGGGCTGGGCAGTGCTGTTTACCGAACCCTCCCTTCTCACAGCCGCCAGAACCCCGTGCACGCGACTACACTCTTTATTATTCATATAAACCTTTGGAAAAGGCAACGCCCTGGAAGTTTTTATAACTTTGTTTGGCATAAAACTTTTACAAGATTCCTCCTGCCATTTTTTTTAAGCTTAAAGTGTTGGCCTTGCCATGAAATGAAATTTCAAGATTTGGGGGATATTGGGGAGACAGAGGCTCTGGGGTCCCAGTGGGTCGTGGTGTCTGGAGCTGCCGTACTCTGCCTAAGGCAAAACAAGTCTTAAATACTGGGGTCGATACTTTCCGAGGCCCATGGTGGACCCAGGTTTGGGGGCGGCCAACATTGGGGGCTGCCAGCTCACAGAGTCTGTAGGCCTCCAGGAGGATCCTGTGCACTTCCACTCTGCTCTTGAGATGTATACTTAAAAAGCCCCAAAGTTTAAACTATGTCAGCAAGGCTAGACCTCCCTCATCATGCCCTCTTGCTCTCCCGAAGGCATTATTCTCTCTCTCTCTCTCTCTCTCTCTCTCTCTCTCTCTCTCTCTCTCACACACACACACACACACACACACACTCACACACACACAACCCTACCCGCACCCTCAACCCACTGCATAAAGTGGAGACCCATAACCTAGATTCAGACTGCAGATTTGGGATTTGGGAGGGTCACTGCACCCACAGCCCTGCATCATCCCTGCCTCCTGCAAAGTCCACAATGGGTTTGAAGAAAGACAGAATTCAAAACGCCCAGAAATTCCTGCCCAGAGGTTGCAGTGGTTGTGGGACAGAAGGCGAGGGACACCAGCAGGGCTGCAGTCTGAGAGCTCAGAGAACAAAGGTGCTCGTGTGGGACATGGCCTTGGGCTGCTAAGCCCACCAGTTACCCCTCTGATCTGCTCCCCACCTGGAACTGACAGAACCTCACTCTTTGCTTTCCCCTGACTCCAGCCTTGGGGAAATGAATTGGGCTCAAATTAAAGTTATTTTAATGTTCAGTTCTGGAAGTCAACACAAAGATGGAGCAAATTCTACAGAGACAGGCCCAATGGACAAGGTTCCTTTGGGGAGATGGAAATGAAGAGACCTGAGCCCAGCAACCAGTGCTGCAGGGAGCCATCGGAGTCACTAAGGACCACATCCCAGCGCCAGCTTCTCCTTCTGTAATAGTGACTGTTGTGGCCTGGCCCCCAGCTGCAGGCAGCCCTACACATTCCCTTGTGAGGAGCCGTGTTAATACTGAAGGCAGGAGAAGGTCAACACCAAGCCTGAGCAGCCGGCTGGGAAGGGATGCGACCGAGCCTGATGCTCTCCCCTCATGGACCCCATCGCAAGAGAGAAAACCGGAAAGGTTAGGGGAGAAAGTCAAGGGGAAGGAAAACACTACGAAGGAAAGAAAAGACCAAAGAATAAATCGTATAAGAAAAGAAAGAAGGAAAAGGGGAAATGAGGAAGATAAATTAAGAAAGAAGGAGAAAAGATCGGGAAAAGGGAAGAAATATAAACTGCAGGAAAAGGGAAAGAAAGAAAAACTGCAAAGAAAGAAGGACTGAAAAGAAAGAACGAAGAAAGAAAGGAAGAAAGGAGAAAGAGGTAAATAATGAAAAACAGATCTTGGAGAAGGAATTTAGCGGGTAAGGAAGGAGTGGGGATTTTCACCGGAGTGAGCTGGCCCAACCACAGCCCTGGCTCTCGCTGCAAACCCGAACTGCTGGGGCAACTTGGAAGCAAACCATTAAAGTGGGGAGCAAAGCCTTCCCCCCAAGATATCCTCCCATCTGTCTCCTCCTGCCAAAGCTTCTCTTGGACACCTCTTGGACACGTTTGCTGTCTGGTTTCGATTCAGGAGGCAAGTTAAATAACTGGCCGGCTTCCGAATGGCAAGAAAGCAGTTGTGCTGGCTCAGGTTATCAGACTTCAGGACTCGAGATCGCAGGAAACACATATTTGGGTAAAGTGAATATCTGTCCCTCTGTACACAAAAATTAAGCACAATTTAGAACTGTGTGTAAACGGTGTACTCCGTATTTTCTGGTGCAAATGTGTGTACAAGGTCCAGACGTGAGAGTGACTCTGAAGGCTGGGCTGCTGGGGTTGAGTGGCTGTGGGGTCCGAGAAGACGGAGGAGACCAGAGGCCCCTCCAGGCGCCCTCGGCCTCCCACCTCCCTCCCCGTACCTGCCTGAA